ACACCAAATCTACACCTTTACCCTCATCTGCACAAGCAGTAACCTTTTTGAAGAATGTTAAAAGATTTGTAAGGCAAAATTTTTCCTTAGTGAAACTGTGTTGACTATCCAATAAAATTCTAAACTTTGTTAAATGACTTTGCACAGCATATTTTATCAGACTTTCCCAAACTTTTCCCACAACTGATGGGTCTGTAATTATTGGGACAATTTTTATCACCTCCCTTGAAAAGAGGAGTTACAATAGCTAACTTCCAATCCTCTGGTACCTTCTCACTATTCAAGGACTGACAAAAAATAGTACTAAGTAGCTCACATATCCAATTTTTACCCAAAATCTGCATTAAGCAAATGAATACAGAAAGTGTTAAACCCATTTACTCTTTCTTGGTGCCTACTGTATAGATTAGTTTTTCTGCAAGACAGCTTTGATACCATATATAACTGACTTAACCATTTCAATATCTTGTGCAAAATAAAAAGAAAGCAGACAGAACCAAGCATAACAGTATTTTTGCTATATTTTTGAATGTTGATTTAGATAATAAAATATTCTATACTGTTCAAACTTGTGTACTTGAGAATGATTGCACTAGCAATCAAGACATCATATCAGTTTTAAAAACAAACCTTACTTACTGTAAAAGCTGTAACTTGTAATAAAATATTTTTAGTACTGTTTACATACATAACTAAGTTTGAAGCAGTAGGTTTATTAATTATATTGCCATGTTTTAAACTAATTAACTGTGGAGACTGTGTAGTGATAACACTAACTGTTATTTTTATTAACTTTTTAAATATGTTGTTTGATTTCAGAACATATTTGTTCAAGAGAAAATAGAACATCCTAGTGATCTGTTAGAAGGTGATATTATTTCAAAGTTCAGTGACAGCAGTGATGATGATCTGGATAGTTTAAACTATAATGACATGGATGTGAAAATGAAAACTAAATTTCAAGAAGAAATTGAATCGGTGTTAGAAACTACATCTGGTGAGTATAAACATCTAAAACTTTTAAGTGCATTAACACTGGTTTACAAGAATTAGTTAAATTTGTGGTATATTTCAAAAGTTATTGAACCATGTGAGACTGGTTTAATTTGAAGTGTATAGATCTAAGTTTCATGTCTTCTTTTTTTTCTTCTACTTGGGAATTTTTTTTTTTGTGTGACAGGTTTTGAAGTCAAAATGACAAAAAAAATTAAAAAGAATTTTAAGGTTTGACTGAAAATAAATAAGGAGAACATTAGTTATTTGTATAAAATGAAACAGAAAAACTTTAACTGACCAGTGTTTATCCTCCTGGTTCTTCGTGTATAAACTTTATAATTAATGGTTGGAACCCATTTCAGTAGATTAATGTTTCAACATGTTCAGAGAATGTATTGTTGTCATTTATTTTTATAGCTGTGACTTGCTGAACATCTTCTGTGTAGAATCTGTGATTTGAATAACCCCAAATCTTTAATCTAATCTTTAATCTTGATAAAAGAATAAATAATATATTGACAAATAATAGTCTAAGTCTTGGCATTTATGAATATTTATTTAACTTGCATATAGAACTCTTTAATAAAAAGTTTAAAGTATTCATGCTAATTAACATTTGAAAGTAGAGAAGTCATTAGATGATTTAATGATAATCAACCACTTAAAATTAGAAAATTACATTGGTTGTTGTGACACTGTACTATCATATTTTCACAGGTGATTTTACTTTATTTACTAAACTCTTTCTTGAAAGTGGAATGATACATTTTGTTTTCACTGTTATTCTGATTCAGGTTGAAAAGCTTTTATAAAATGTTAACCTATGAAAACTGCATAATAATTAATTTTTAACTGTAATATTTTTATATTTGTACTTATATTAGAACATTAAATATACTTAGAAGTTCATCAAATATATTATTAACTATGATGTGGCATTATTAATATCTGTTTTAGATACGAAGACCAGTCCTGCTTATCATGTTATAAAACAAGAAGATCACTATACAGAAGTTACAAGGTCCTCAAAACCAAACAGTAGTATATGTGGAGAAACAACTTTAAATGGAAATAAGCTAAACAAATTTAATATACCTCAGTGTAATGGTAAAACATACAGTTGTGTAGTCAGTGGAAAAGAATTTGGAACAGTGGATAACCTAACACAAGAACAGAAGATACAATCTGGAGAGAAACCATATCATTGTGCAGTTTATGGAAAACACTTTGAGAGAAATAGTCCCTTAGAACAACATGAAAGAAATCACCCTGGGGAGAAACCTTATAGTTGTGGAATTTGTAGAAAACAATTTGTATCAAGCAGTAACTTAAAATCACATCAAAGAATACACACTGGGGAGAAACCTTACAGTTGTATAGTTTGTGAGAAACAATTTTTTAGAAAGAATAACTTAAAATCACACCTAAGAATACACACTGGAGAGAAACCATACAGTTGTGGAGTTTGTGGAAAACAATTTGTGTCAAAGGGGAAATTAGAACAACATCAAAGAACACACACTGGGGAGAAACCTTACAGTTGTGGAATGTGTAGAAAACAGTTTGTATCAAGGACTAACTTAAAATCACATCAAAGAATACACACTGGGGAGAAACCTTACAGTTGTACAGTTTGTGAAAAAACATTTAGAACAAGTGTTAACTTAAAAATACATCAAAGAACACATACTGGTGAGAAACCTTACATTTGTTCAGTATGTGGAAAACACTTTGGTACAAGGAATAACTTAAAATCTCATCAAAGAATACACATTGGGCAGAAACCACACAGTTGTGCTGTTTGTGATAAACCATTTGGAACAAGAAGTATCTTAAAAATACATGAAAGAACACATACTGGTGAGAAACCTTACAGTTGTTCAGTGTGTGGAAAACATTTTGTAGTAAGTAGTAACTTAAAACAGCATCAAAGAATACACACTGGAGAGAAGCCTTACAGTTGTACATTGTGTGGAAAAAATTTTGTACAAAGTAGTAAATTAAAACAACATCAAAGAATACACACTGGAGAAAAACCTTACAGTTGTTCAGTGTGTGGAAAACACTTTAGTAGAAAGAATTATTTAGAATTACATCAAAGAATACACACTGGAGAGAAACCTTACAGTTGTGCAGTTTGTGAAAAAAAATTTCTATCAAAGGTTGAATTAGAACGACATCTAAGAATACACACTGGGGAGAAAACTTACATTTGTGTTGTTTGTGGAAATGACTTCAGAACAAACTTTGAATTAAAAGTACATCAAAGAACACACACTGGAGAGAGACCTTACAGTTGTACAGTGTGTGGAAAACACTTTATGAGAAGTAGTACATTGAAAGAACACCAAAGAATACACACTGGGGAGAAACCGTATGGTTGTACAGTGTGTGGAAAACAATCTAGAACAAAAGATGCTTTAAAAAAACACCAAAGAACACACACTGGTGAGAAACCTTACAGTTGTACAGTGTGTGGAAAACACTATGTAAGAAGTAGTGCCTTAAAAGAACATCAAAGAAGACACACTGGGGAGAAAACATACAGTTGTTCAGTGTTTTTGGAAACACTGGTAGAAAGAATAACGTAAAATTACATCAAAGAATACACACTGGTGAGAAACATTACAACTGTACTCTTTGTGAAAGACAATTTAGAACAGAAGATGCTTTAAAGAAAAACAAAGAACACACAATAGAAAGAAACCTTACAGTTGTTCAGTGTTTTTGGAAAGATTTTTTAGAAAGTAGTAAATTAAAACATCAAAGAATACACATTGGGGAGAAACTGTACAGTTGCACAGTGGAAAACGTTTTTAGTAATTAGTAACTTACAAAACATCAAAAAACACAGTGGGACAATTTGGAACAAAGGATAACTTAAAACTACATGGAAAAGTACATAGTGAGGAGAATCTTTAAAGTTGTTCATTGTGTGGAAAACAAAAGAATTACTTAAAATTGCATCAAAGAATACACAATAGAGAGAAACCTACAGTTGTGCAGTTTGTGGAAAACACTTTGTGTCAAAGGGTGAAATATAACAACATCTAAGAAGACAAACTGGGGGAAAACCTTAAAGTTGTACAGTGTGTGTGGAAAATGCTTTGTAAGAATTTGTAAATTGAAAGAACATCATAAAATGCATACAAGGGAAAAACCTTAGTTCTGAAGTTTGTGGAAAACAATTTGTAAGGAAGTATAAGTTAAAAATACTTTAATAAATACACGCTGGTGAGAAAAGTTACTTTTGTGTACCTTCAATTAAAACACTAGTGTGAACCCTTACAGTTATATAGTTTGTGGAATACAACTTGGATCAAACAGTTAATTAAGAAGACATCAAGAAAGACATAAATGATTTTATAATGAGGAACCCATGTTTTTGGAATAAACAGTTTGGAGGTGGCTTGAACGTTTCAAGAAGCAACTTTTAACATCATCAGATACAAGTAGTTTACATAGATAAAGGAATATATATTAAACAAATAGGATAGTTTGCCCAACATAACCATTTTCAGAAAGTATTACAAGTATCATCCCAGTAGACCTTCTCTGAACTTTTTCCAACAATTCAATGTCATTTCTTAGGAATTAAAAATACATCAGTGAAAACAAACCAGAACATTCCATTACAGTTATATAGTTTATGGAATACAACTTGGATTAAATAGTAAATTAAGAAAAACATCAAGGAAGACATACTTGGAACCAACATTTTGGAAAATACAGTTTGGAGATGGCTTTAATGGGTGTAGTGAAAAAAACTTTACTATAAATATACAATGTTTCAATAAATAACATTTGTCATCATCAGATACAAGTAGAATAGTCAGCCCAAGTAACCATTTTCAAAAGTATTACAAGTGTTTGACCCAAGTTTCAAGTAGATTTCTATAACAAGTGGCCAAAAATAAATAACCTCAAGTCTTGGATAAAGTAAAATAGTAAAGAAAATTTGAGTTTCTGAACCAAAAATGATCTAAAGTTTCTCATACAAAAAAAAATCAGTTAACAATGGTCGAGTATTAAAGTGAACAAATACAGCAAAGTGGTATTAATGACAGGAGAAACTACGACTCTCTTGGTGAGGTGAGAATGAAACATTACTTAAAAACTGTCAACCTTTTACTTATGAAGAGATCTTTATCCTTTTCTGTCAGAAAAACTGGGAAAATATTTATATAATCACTGGCTTATTGATAATTATGACGCACCAAAATTCGTGTATGGATATTCTTTATGTAGACGTGTAATCAGTCATATAAACTGTTAACTTACATACGTATAAAGTTGAAACTTCAATCTGAAAGTTATAACCTTATGGAGTTTGTGGTTGCTATGAATTATGGGAATCAAGCAGCATTGAAATAACCGACTTCAGAAATAAAGATGTGCTACTTTTTCATATCATTGTTACTTTTTAAACGTCTGTGAGTTTGTGTTATTCAAATTGTACAAAAGCTTTCCTGCAAGAACTAAAAGCTTTATAATTAAAGGAAATAGAAATACTTAAAATATTCCTTAGAATTGCTAAAAATCCTGATAACATTATAATCACTACTCCCTGAAAAGAAAAATAGGCTACTGTTATAGAAACGCGGTAACGGAACAAGTGTGTATTAAATATTTTTATTACTGCAGTAACAGTATATTGTTTTACGATTATTCAGGCTATATTATTCTGATTCTGGTCGTTATGCATACAATTCGAAACAGTGATCAAGTTCTTATACATTTTAACCCTCATGAACTTCTGTATTTGTGTAACTATGTTATTGGAAATTAAAAATATTTGTAATTATAAAATGTGTCGGGGTGAAGACTGATTTAGTTAATTTAGTTTTTTCTCATTATTACTCTCGTTAGATAAAAATACCCTAAAAAGTGACTTATTTTTTGTTTTTTAGTGACATTATATGATAACCAGTAAATTATTAAGTAATTGTCTGTTTGAATCTATGCACAAAGCTACACAATGGGCTATCTGTGCTCTGACCACCACGGGTATCGAAACCCGGTTTCTAGCATTGTAAGTCGGCAGACATACCGCTGTGCGACTGGGGGCGATTAACTAAAGATAATTTAAAGTATCACCGATATACTTTTTTGCTCATTTACGAGTTAATATATATATATATATTTGTGGATACAACGTTTCGGGTAATGCCCTTCTTCAGGTATCACCTTCCTTCTTACCTGTCCTCCGATTTTAAACTTAAATAATAAAAAACAAATCTCTTTAATTAACGGAACCTCTAAATTAGAAAACAACAAATGTTTATTCTTTCAGCACATAGCCTTTGAACAACAATATTAGATTATATTATTATTTCTAAGCGACATGATATAAAAGCTATTGTTGGAACGCATTTTTACCAAAAAAAGGAGCGTGAAAGTATTTACGACAGATTCCATTTTCTGCCTCTGGCCAAGCTTGATTTCGCAAAATTCATTTATTTCAGTTAGTTATGAAATGAGAGATTTGGGTATATAATGGTGTGGTGGTGGTGGTAGTAGTACTTGTCACGTCATTTTTGACAGGTTAGATACTGGTGATAGTTAAGAACCACACTATAAAATTGTATAATAGTTAAACAACCACTCTATAACAGCCCATAATAGTTAGAAAACTCTATAACATCCCATAGTAGTTAAAACTAACATTACATGGTGGACACATTTCTATGTAGTTTTTCGCATAAAAAGATGCACGCACGCACGTAGATAAGTACTAATACCCAAGTGCATACCCTCAGAGTCCACTTAGTATGTGTGCAAAATTTCAGGTTTCTAAGTTCTTTCCTCTTAAAGTTATGGCGGTCACACACAGACCCACGTACACGACCTTTAATTATTATAGATGGACTAAGCTGAAGCCAGTAGCAGGCATTCATGATTTATGGACCTGAGAATCAATGAATCATGACCTATTATTGCAAAAAAAAAAAAAAATCTCTCTCAGCACTGAAGAGATCAAATCCCACTATTTGGTGTGACAAGTGTTGATGGTTACCTGCCTTCGCATTCGTCTTTCACCTCGAAATTTTGGACGGTTAATGCAGACAGTCCTGATTTAACTTTGTGCAAAGCCCAACAACAAACATACTTAACACAATAAATTTATACTTGGTTTGCAGTCTAATTGTATAAATATGTTAACTACTGCTGGAAAATCTAACTTACATGAATAAACGCCGGTTATCAGCAATAGTTTTTCTTTGCCTTCTGTTTTGCTGATTCGTAACTGGGTGGCCCATTTCATAGAAGCATTTGTTACCAACAAGGAATTATTTTTTGTACTACCAATGTTACCTTTATACGAATTTCGTAAAATAACATGTACTAATATGAAGTTTAACTTAGATAAAACTTTTGTCAGCAAAGTGGATCATGACTAAACAAAAAATAATTTCTCAGAGCAATCATATGTAAGTTATTTTTATTTCTTGGAAATTAAATTAGCTCCCAAGAGCTTTATATATTCTTGTACCTTAAACATTACACCTAAAAGGCATGCAACTAGCAACAATATGTCTATGATATTTGATAATTATTTTTCGTGTTTCAGTTTGCAAATATTCTTTACCTGTCATCTAAAAACATGGTAAGTTAATTATATTTCTTATAATCGGATCATACTAAATATAGTGTATACAGCAGTTGATTATCTGATGATTTTATTTACTTAGAGTCTTAGACCATAGAATGTTTTAATTGTTGTGATAAAATTATTTTTGCCCGGCATGGCCAGGTGGTTAGGGCGCTCGACTCGTAATCAGAGGGTCGCGGGTTCGAATCTCCGTCACACCAAACATGCTCGCCCTTTCAGCCGTGGGGGCGTTATAATGTGACGGTCAATCCCACTATTCGTTGGTAAAAGAGTAGCCCAAGAGTTGGCGGTGGGTGGTGATGACTAGCTGTAACACAAGTAACCGTAGATTGGAGTACAGACAGTATGGTGGTTGATGACGTAAACAAGAATGAGAAAGATGCTATAAGCATCATTACAAACATGGCGGATCCGTCAGTAGTTGAGTGATAACTACAGTAATCTAAAAATATTCAAGTCTATGTGAAGAAACACGAAGTAGAACTGAAGAGTGAATAGTTTATGTATTACTGTTATTTTGGAATCATTACTGCGTAATTTATAGTGAGACGTTAGATTCTTAATAATACCTTACCAGATAACAAAATAAAATTATTTTAAAAATAAAACTGTTATTTTAATAATGTTATACGAGTACGCTTTTATAACAGTTGAGCCTACTTTCGTCATAAATATACAATGAAATTCCTCATCCTATTAGGTTTGCTACACATTGAAATTATTATTTAATACAATTTTCTATGTACCCTTAACACGGTGAAATAATAACTAAATTACACACATAATACGAAAAGAATCACAAAGGGTTTAAATATTTCTTTCGTCAGAGTGCCACCATCAGTGTATCTTAATATACTATTGCGTCAGCGAGTCACATGACACTGTGACGCAACGTTTCTAGAAC